CTGCACAGTGCCAAGTGAATGCAAAACACGGCTGTTGTCATGTGATTATATTTTATACTTGTTTTCCATTGATGCAAGGGGCAGAGCAACAGAAAATCAGTTCTCCTTATTTTAGTTCTGTTAGTTTAGCCACTGTCTTGTGGCTGCCTCACCAGCTTAAATGTCCCTTTTTACAATGAGCCATGCTAGTGGCTGGTTGTGTGTGTATTTTAATTACTCCATGGTGAGTGATGATCGAAAAAAGCTGCTCTTTGATGTCTACCGACATTACTCTATGTTATAGTGCATCCTCAATGGCAAATACATGTCAAATTCACAACCCAGCAAACCTTGAAATGCTTCCAGAACTCCATAGAGGGACTGTGGAAATGGCTGAAATTTGCTTTGAAAATGTGCACCAGTGAAAGGTTTCATTAAAAAATAAAGCAATACTTAAAATTTCCTGAATATTGCAAAATCCTGAATATTTGACAATGAATAGCTAAGAAAACTCGTATCTGTTAGCTTTCCCACAATAAGGTCTTCCTGAAGTAGTACACGGTCACTGTAGCTTGGAGAAAAAGGGGAAAAAATATTTTCCTTTAAATAGAGCTGATTGAAAACAGAATCTCCTTCCCACAGGAAAATCCAACTTCTTAATTCTTGGTTTTTATCTTGAATTCACACAAAGAGTCAAAATCCTGAACTGTTGTGGAAGGAACATTTCAAAGTCATTTAATTCAAAGGCACTGGTATCACCTTATTGAAATTACTTTATTGGCCAGTTTTGATACAGCTGAAACTTTATTCTTGGTAGTAACACCAATTTATTGGAGGGGGGTGGGGGGTTGAAGAAGTGATTTGGGGGAATTTTGTGTGTGACTAATTGCCTCCAAACATGGGATAGGATGTCTGAGTCCCCTTCTAGTCTTGTGTTCCTAAAATGAAATTTGACCCACCTTTCATGGACTGATTCTGTTCAGCTAAAAAGGCTGCAGTGGAGGGGCATTGAGCACGGGAACATGTAACCTAGTACATAGTGTTGTATTACTTGTTTCATTATTATTTTTATGACAGCACCTACAATCTCCTATCCCAGACCAGGACCCACAGTGCCCACTGCTGTACAAAGGTAGAGCACAGAGTACTTGCACAGCATTACAGGAGTTTCTTATATTAGATCAACTGCCTACCTAATGTGATACCCCATTTCCAATAGAAGCCAATATTTAATCTTTTAGAAGACTGTATGAAATCCACTTAATGGACAGCTAGGTAATAAAATGCCTATGGAAAAAAATACTGCTATCATCCCAAGCACCTAGCATCTGCTGTCCTAAAGCCATGAGCCATAAATACATGGTGTGGCCACACTTTGAATACTATGCCCAGTTCTGGTCCCCACACCTCAAAAAAGATATGCAAGTCCAGACGAAGGCAACAAGGAAGCTTAGTGGCATGGAGGGGCTTCCATAGTAGGAGAGACTAAAGAGGCTGGGCCTATTCAGTTTGGAAAAGAGATGCTTGAGGGGAGACGTGATAAGGGTTTACAAAATGCTAAATGGTGAAGAGAAAGTAAAAAGGGATTTATTATTTACTGTTTCTCACAACCCCAAGAACTAGGGGTCATGCAATGAAAGTCGTAGGTAGCAAGTTTAAAACTAACAAAAGGAAGCTCTTTTTCATGCAGTATGTCATTCAATTACGGAACTCATTTGCACAAAATGTTGTGGGGGGCTGACAGTTTAGCCACATTCAAAAGGGGATTGGACAAATTCTTGGAGAAAAGGGGCATCAGGAGCTATTGAGCGTGGAAGTCAGGGATACAGCTTCTGAATCAGAGCTTCCTAGACCCTAAATGCTAGAGGCGGTAAGTGGGAGAGGAACAGGGGAAAAACCCTGGTCATAGCCTGCTCACTCTCCTTGTCAGTATCCCCTGGCTACCACCATGAATCACAGGTATATTTGATGTGCCATGGGGTTGTGAGCTTTGGCTAATCACAAAAAACTATAAGCCTCCCTTAAAAAGGGAAGCCACTGGGGACACATCAACTGATGTGTTGGGGAAACTAAAAAGAAAACAGGAATGGGAGTGAGGTCATAGGTTAATAAATATGGGCGACTGGTGCTGCTTCAGTCAGGGGGGGCACATGCCTCCCCCCCGCCCCCCCGGTGACCAGTCAGTGGGATGGTCCCCCATGGCCAATCTTGCCGAAGCAAAACTTACCAACCGGTGAGTGGCTGTGCTGCTCCTGAAAGTGGCCGCAGCACTCCTGGAAGTGGCTGCGGTGCTTCTGGAAGCAGCTGCAATCTACATCCGGCTCTCGCACTCCTCAGCCGGCACTCACAGGGGGGCACTGGTGCTCCCTCCTGTCCCCCCTGCCCATCAGCTGAACAGGGAGTGCAGCCTGACAGGGTGCACCTGTGCTCTCAGGGGGTGTAAGTCCACCCCCTTGCACCCCTTCTGCATCACCACCAATAGCAAGGGAACTGGAAAGGGATACTGAGAAGAGCACACTGGCCAGTTTGTCCAGAGCCAGGAGGAGGTTGACCAGAAGGTCCCAGAGCTTAGTGGGGCCATGGATAGGTAGTGCCTAACAAAAAAAAAAAGGGGCAGGGACTGTGTGACAGGCCTATTTGATGTGCCAAAAAAGTTCACGGGCCATAGCCCATCACAAATTCTGTAAGTCCCCTTTAAGAAGGGAGGCCAGTGGGGACACATCAGTTAACTTCTTGGGACAACAAAAAAGAAAACAGGAGTTTCAGTGAGGTCATAGGTTAAGAAAAATGGATTTGGAGGCGAAGCACACTGGCTAGCACCCACTGCCCCCCTAAAGGAGTCAAGGGAGCCTGTGGACACTGACCATTGAAACTCTTCCCGGAGACGTGAGCGGAGGAGTACCAGGGAAACAGCCCCACACTGGCCCTGTTTCCTCCCAGCCAGAGTCCCATAGATGGCCAACTTGGCCAGAGCCAGGAGGAGGTTGACCAGGAGGTCCTGGGACTTGGTAGGGCCATGGATGGGAAGTTCTTAACAAAAAAAGGGTGGGGACTATGTGACAGGCCTGTTTGATATGCCCTGATGTCATGGGTCTCAGCCCATCACAAAATCTATAAGCCCCCCTTAAGAAGGGAGGCCACTGGAGAGACACCAGCTAATTGCTTGGGACAACAAAAAAGATAACAGGACCGGGAGTGAGGTCGTAGGGAAACAGCTAGGCAGTGGTGATGTATAGGAGGTGCACGGGGGTGCATGTGTACCCCCAGAGAGCACTGGTGCACCTCCTGACTGGCCACACTCCCTGCTTAGGTGCCGGGGAGTAGGAGCGCAGGATGTAGCGCCACAGCCACTTCCAGAAGCTTCGGTGAGTTTTGCCATGGGGAACCACCCCTGCCCCCAGTTGTTGAGATTGGCCATGGGGGACCCCTCCCCAGTCAGCGAGATTGGTCATGGGGGGACCCCCATGAGGACCCACCCCCAGTCACTGACTAGTTGCTGGGGGGGCACATCCCCCCTCCCCCAACTAAGGTGGCACCAGTTGCCCATGTAACTAGGGCATCATAAGGGGACACTGAACAGAGCACACTGGCCAGTGCCCACTGATCCCTGAAGGAGTCGAGGGAGCCTGTGGACACCGACCAGTGAAACTCTGTCCAGAGATGTGAATGGAGGAGTGCCAGGAAAGCAGCCTCACGCTCGCTCGGGCTCCTCCAAGCCAGAGCCTCCTTCCGGGCCTTATAGATGGCCAGCTTAGCCAGAGCCACCAGGAGCTAGACCAGGAGGTCCCAGGATTTGGTGGGTCCATGGACCAAAAGTCCATAACACAAGGGATGGGGACTGTGTAGCATGATACCGGGCAAGATGGACCTATGGTCTGACCCAGTATATGGCAGTTCTTATGTTCATGAGGATATATTGCCTTTTCTGGATTTTTCTTCTCACTAGGGTACCTCTGAGTGATATTCTTACGACTGTCTGTCTGTACCAGTGATTCTCAAGCAGGATGGCATGAAACCCCAGGGTGCCACAAGATCCTTACAAGGGTGCTGCAGGGTGCTACACAATTTTAGCACTGTGAGGCATAAAGACCTGATTCAAAAAAATTCACATAGAAACCCAGGGTGTTAAAAGCATGCTGATATATTTTGGTCTTCCTGAGCTCTTTGCAACAGAAGAATCGCCTAGTATTTTTCTGTAGTCAAAAAATGAGTGAAAATTAAGAGCTGGCATTTTCTGCAGCACGCCTCGAGTCTCATAGGGTGGCTTGGGACTTACAAAGGTTGAGAACCACTGGTCTAAGCCTTTGGAGAATCCTTACCAACCTTTATTGTCAATGATTCCTTGTGGCACTGAGTCCTAGCTAAGAAGAATATTGTGCCTGTTTAAGCCAAAAACAATTTTTAAATGCCTAGCATTTACACTGAAGGGAAGGCCTCAGGATCTGCCCATGCAACTTCAAACAGCTCAGAAGGCCTGATTTTTTCAGTAGTCTGTTGTTGAGGCCATTCTGAATATCAATTCTCTTGAACATATCTCAAATTAGGTGCTAAAAAATTAAAGTTCGTTCCCCTGCCCCCTACCTGTCAAGCTTCAGGGCAGTGACAGTCCCTTGGCCTGGGTATGTATTTATTTCCTGCCATGGTGTGGCAGCCGTCTTGTTTGATACCTCTAGGTGCTATGGTAATACAAACTGCAATACACTCCTCTCTTGGCCCACCCTGAATCATTTCACTCCCTTTTCATAGGTCAAATCTTCCCCCTTCCCCATCCTGTTGCTTTTGCCTAGCTAGACTAGCTATGGCATTCTTTCACTCGCTCCTTGTAAATGAACCCCTCCCATCCTTAATTATTTTGGTTGCCCTTCTCCGAGTGCCTTACAGCCTGGCAAAGACTTTTTGTCACAGATTCACTCAATAATCTGATTCACAGATTCACACTTGTCAAATTACAATAGCACGAAAAACTGGGCATAAAATGTCTGTTCATCTCCACCTTCTCTCTCCCCCTTTCTCTTCTTCAGGGCATCGCTAGGTGGATAGTTTAATTCCAGATCAATAACAGGCTTCAACTACAGAAAGAGATGTTAAAAAAAGGATGGCATTCAATCGTTCTCTGTGTCCACAGGGGCCAGGACACAAAGTAATGGGCTTAAATTGCAATAAAGGAGATTTCGATTGGATACTGTGAAGAACTTTCCAACTCGGAGGATGGTTAAGCATTGGGAGAGATTGCCTCGGGAGATTGTGGACTCTCCAGCATTGATGGTTTTGAAGAGCAGGGGATGAGCTGGTTTAGACAAGGATGCTCCTGCCTTGCACGGGGGGGTTGGACTAGATGACCTCCAGAGGGCCCTTCCAACCCAGGTATTTCTACACATCTGTGATGTGAAGAAACCTCATCATGGATTACTGTTACTGTGTTCAGCAATTCTAAACATATACGGTAGAGGGGGCTGCTAGTATGCCGCAGAGCAGATCACAGAGCGGATTGGCCGTTTTCCATCTCCTTCCTCTAATGGGTGAAGTACCATTTGGGCGATTTTCCAAGCAAGATGGGAAGGGGAGCTTTGACAATGCTCAGGCAACTAACACAACGTTCTTCACGAGGGACTCTCCTCCGTACTTCTTTTTAAAGCTCATCTGACAACCTTCCTGGGTTTTTCTCCCAGACCTCCCAATGTAACAAGTACTGCCAACTCTAATAAATGTTGGAAAATCATGACGCAGCCTACAAGAAATCATGAGATTTGTTTTGACTTATCAGTTTGGTTTTTTAGCTTCTAAGTCTTATGCTTCACTTTTTCAAGCTTTTCTCCCCCGTCACAAAAGGCTAGAAACTTACTTCCATTTTTTTTTTTTAAAGAAAGCTAAGATTCTCGTGCAAACTTCCAGGAGTTGGTGCTGAACCCCCCACCCCAATATCAAAAGACCTGTGATAAAACCACAAGCATTTCCAATTTTTTAAAATGAAACACAAACTCTTCCTCTGTTGTTTCTCTTAGAAGTTTGTCTTTTAGATGCACCAAGATGGTATCTGCAGATCATATAACTTCATTCTCCTTGGGACAGACACATCACACACCCCACTTGCAGGTTACTTACTGAGCTGAAGCCTGATCTTTTCATGGTTTAAGGTCCCTCCCCGCCCCCACACACTCTGTAGTAGCCAAGACAATGCACCATTGTGAAAGCAAATAGAGCGTGATGGAAAGGGCAGTGTTGGCTTTATTTTACTTGGCATTCAAATAGCAGTAATGTTACCAAGGGGTGGCACTCGGGTCTCCCTCACTCTCATATTTCCATCGGAAGGAACAGAGCCACTCTGCAATGTCAGGATAAAGTACTGTGTTACACTTGGACCATACTAGTGGCACTTAAAACGTGAGTGTCTTCACGGTAAAGCTTGTTAACTCCTGCTGAGTGCCTTCTGGGCATCCCAAAGTTACGCCACTTTAGGCGAGTGTTAATTCTGGGCAGTGCTACACAGCTCCTATCAGGGTAACTTTAGTCTGCAGTCCTCCAGCATCCCAGGATGCATCACTTTAAAGCTGGGATAGAACCCAGGGGTCCTGGTTTCTACCCATGTCCCTACTTGTCTACCTTCTAGTGGCAAGTCAGGTAAGAAAGGGTATTAATCCTCAATGTACAATTTAGGCCACAGATTTAGTGTGGCCTAAGTATAAAGCATAACTTCACCTTTATGCTGTGTTGGCTCATGCAAGTTGCTCTACTGCCATTATACCACTGGAATTAAAGCAATGGCAAACTGCTGCTATAGATGAACCGACACAAACCTTTAGCATGAAGGCAGTGATATGGGGTTAAATGTGCTTATACTGGCTTACCTTGTTCCTAGTTAGGAAAAGACATGTTATAGCAGTATAACTGTGATCACACTACAGTATGTACTGGCATAATTGTACATATAAAAAAGGAGGACCTGAGGAAGAATGTCTTGCATTCACAAGCTTGTCTAACTGTCCTAATAAAAGAGATCACCCTAAGAAATCCTTGCCTCACAGATTTTTAAAAAAGGCATACTTAAAAGTAACATAGTTATGGCACAAAAACTAGGTGTAGATCAGACTTTAAACTAATGATGGAAACTGCGGTTCTGAAAAGATAATGGATTTTTGCGGATCCTGAATCTCAAAGTAAATGTCTAGAAAGATTTACAGGGCAGTTGTCAAGAAAGTGGACTAGTCTTTGATTAAAGCTGGTTGGAAAATCCAATTTTACTTCTGCAAGCAAATGTGGCCAAGGTGACTTGATTCAGTTTATTTTCCAAGGAAAAAAATGGATTTATTTGAACAAATTTTTTGCTCATTCCAATGTACAAGCACTCCTGAAAGAAACAGGGATAAAATTACCCCAGTGTAAATTATGCCAGCAAAGGGATTGTGCGTATCCACAGCTTACTCTAGCACAGTGGTTCTCAACCCATGACCTGCGGGCCACATGCAGCACACTGCTGCAGCCCATGTGGCATCCGTTAACTGGATACACAGGAAGTAAGTTGTGTGGGTGCAGCCCACATAACACATTAGGTGCATCTACACAAGATGCTTTATGGTGCATTAGCCTAAACTTAAGGTGCATTAAGGCATGTGTCTACACATGCGTGCCCTTAATGCACTTTAAAAATGGCAATTTCAAGCTAATCATGCCTAAATTTGATACCTGCAAATGGAGATAACCTGGGTAATCTGTTGCAATATTTTACTACCCTCCTAGCAAGAAAATTCTTCCTAAGTGTCATTTTCTTGTGTGTCCAAAGGAAGTGTAAATCACAGCAGGGTAAATGCAACATGCACAAAGAGATTGAACCAGACATATAACAGATGTCTGCCATGATTGTAACTGGAAGGAGTCAGTTATTAGTATGATGAAGATGGAATCTGAATACCTATAGCAATGGTTTTTGACCCGCAACAGGGCAGAGTGTTTTTGACACTGGATTCCTGTTTGAAATCCGAGTGTATCTTGTGAATCGTGTAGGTATTTGCCCACCTAACAATGCTAACATTGCATGGCACCACGCACACCCTTAAAAGGATTTTGTGGTATCCCACGTTGAGAATTGCTGCCCTATAGGATAGAAAAGAAACAGGTCAAAATGCTGGTGCTTATAGATTCAAGTGACATTTTCAATGGGAACTTTCCATCTCTGTTGATTCTCCCCCATTTTGAAGGACTTGGTGACAGTGTTCAAAATAACAGAGAATATTTTGTTTTTCATTAAAAGTGTTCGCCATTTATAGACTAACTTCAGTCTATTGGTTTTCTCTACAGTCTCCAGTAATGGCCTCCCTTCAGGAGTTATCCCAGCCAAATGCTACAAGATTGATATATTTTTTTCTTAGGCTGCGTCTAAGAAGATAATACATTTTTTTTCAACTTTATCTCAAAACAGTCTGAAACGCAAACATTCTTCAGAGAGAGAAAAAAATCGGATTAAAACCCTTTGTTTTCCCCTTTTGACCTGAACTACCAGCAAAATTCAGGGTCTTGTGGACTGACTTCTTCCAGGAGGAAGTCCTTCCCATTGTTTCAGCTATCACAAACCAAAGGGGCATTTATTTGCTCCCTTATTTAGCCTGAATGGAAGGTGGTGATCACATCCAACAGCTCCTGTGAGTAGATGTGTTCAGCAAAACTACAACACAATGCCTCTAGGTCTAGCTTTAATAAATATTAAACTAGGTTGCTATTTCTTGGTTTGGCTGTTGTAAAATAAGTCTTACAGTTCCAAGGCGCTTGCACACATGACGGGGGTTTAATCCCCAAGGTATTATTTTATGCCCCCTAAATTGAAATGGTGGGGCATAGATAAAACTCTGAGAACTAAAACGTTTCTCCATAAATTTTTCCATCACATTAGAGCAAGGGGACCAATTTGTTTTTTGTTGTTGTTGTTGGAGCCAGAGCCTGCCTGCGGGCAGGGGGCAAGTTGCCGGTGGGCCAAGCAGTCCTTGAGCTGTGCAGGGCCCCGGTTCTTTCCTCCACAATGGAGAGGCTCCACAACAGCAAGGATTGGGTCCCTTGCCACTTCTGCTTGAAAGCAGAGTCCTGCAGCTGGCAGGATGCCTGGAGCTGCCTGGGAATGGGCTGGCTTGCTCCTAGGGCAGTGCAGGAAGGCAGCTGGGTTTGTTGGCAGTCGGAGAAGGTGATGGGGATTGTGCATGGAGTGCTGGAAGCCTGGGCGGGCTTGGGGAAGTGTTGGATCAGGCATCTCCGAGCTGTGGCAGCACCTGGCCAGCCCACCCTGGCTTCCAGCACTCTGTGCACCATCCAGCCACCAGCAAACCCAGCTGCCCTCCTGCTGCCTTCCTGCACTGCCCCAGGGGTGAGCCAGCTCGTTCCCGGGTGGCCCTAGCTATCCTGCCAGCTGCAGGAGCCTGCTGAAGGCAGAAGCAGTGACGGGCCCGATTCTTTTTTTCAGCAGAGCCTGTCCACCTTTCTCACAGCCGGGGGATGAGCTGCAGGGGGCCTCAATCGTTCCCTCCACAGCAGCAGTGCCCCCAAGGCTGCCTGGGTGGGCTGCTAGTGGGCCAGGTGCTGACCCAGTTTGGAGGTAGCACCTGGCCCGATCCAACTCTTCTCTGACACCGAGCTGGGGCAGCACCCAGCTCACTAGCAGCCTGCCTGGGCAGCCCCATGGGGTGCCACCACCACAGAGAGAAGGACCAGGGCCTTCTGCAACTCAGGGGTTGCTCAGCCCACCAGCAGCTTGCCCCCCAGCCATAGGAGAGGTGGGCAGGCTCCACCAAAAAAACCCCCCAAAAACGATCAGACTCCTTGCCATTTCTGCCTTCATCAGGTGCCTGTTGAAGGTAGAAGTGGTGAGGGGCTAGATCCCCTTTTTCTATGGAGCCTACCCGCCTCTCCCAAAGCCAGGGGATGAGCTGACAGCTGCATTGTTGCAATTTGCAACCTTGCAAACTAAACTACATCTGGATGTAGTTTAGTTTGCAATGATACAAAGTAATTTAAAACCCCCCAGAGTCTTGCACGTGTACGTTGTGACGCCATTAAGCCACACAAAGTGACATTTTTGTCACATGTACATGTTAATGGCATCACGTGCACAAGCGCCCCCAGATAGCATTTTCTCCTTTGCCTGTTCAGGACACTCAGACTGTCAGAGACATGTCTTGCTGATTCCTCCCTGTTACTCCTCTGAGCTGTACCATACCTTCCAGGGTCTTCTGATGTGGATGTCTTCCTATTGTTATAAATGTGCATCTCCGTTGTGGTGTTCTTTGTCCCTGTTTCCCATTCTCATCCAGAATGCTATCCTAAACCATGGCTAACTTGTCACACTTTCCTCTAGCACTTTATCAGTCAGGCTAATCACTCTTCACTCAGAAGCTCTGTGCCTTATGTATTGACTTTAGCAACCAGACCTTGACAAGTCAGCTGCCTGGGCTGGAGAGAGCGGTGGCGGTGATGTAGCTGTGATGGTCCAGGGGTAGAGGAGAAGTATGCTCTGTGAGGCGAAGTAATAACTTAGACTAATTGAATTGTCACCTGGGAACTAACTTACATGTAAAGTCAAAAGGTCTATGCAGGAATCTATCCTTTGTCCTAAACACTAATTTGGCCCTCTGTCTAAAAGGCATTATGGACTGATAAATGGTTCTGTGGCAGCTCCCATCTCT